AGGAAAAAAGTAAATAACTATCAAAAAAAGGCTAAATTCATTTTCAAAATCAGCACGCTCGATTATCCTAATTTCACACTTGCATCGAAGAAAAATAATCCTTTTCGGTTTTGCCAATCGTCTTTTTCCCCAATCGTCCCAATTAGAGTCTTGCCATTTACATGCATTCTTTATGAACATTCTGACTTTCCAAAAATACATGGGATCAAAATTGCGCATTAAAAATTCCAAAACTCCGCAAATAAGATGACCTTTGCGACTAGGAAGTCGGCCAAAGACGCGTGTTGCAGCATGACCAGCAAATTCACCTGGTGTAAATTGATTTTGCATTACATTTTTTCAGCGGCCAAAACCCTCGCATTCAAAGGTCAGCCCGCTTTCGACATCGCCTAAAAATTTTGTCGTTGCAAAAAAATTTTTTTCTTTTTGCACGTTTCACGTAAAATATGCAGATTTACGTGATGACGTAAACTCACACGCATAATTTGAGATTAAACTTGTGCGGATTAAAACGACATTTTTCAAATTTCGTACGTTCAAAAAGCCACAAAGGGTGCAGTTTGTGGAATTTGAATGCTAAAGTGAAAAATGCAAAGGTTAATCTTATCCGGTGATATTAACCTTCTTACATTCTATACGTGATCAAAGAGCAAAGGTTTTTTTGCATTTTTAAAGTCTGGTCGAAAGATACGACACCTTTTTCAACGTCTTTGCTTAGCGCTCTCTTGAAAGATGAATGCGTTTTGTAGCAATTTCACTTTACTGCATAGGGTTTTTTTTTCATCTGTGAGACGTATTTTTTGAGGCAATGGAATGTACAATTTTACGGTTGAAGTTTGATGGGGCACAAAGAATGAAAAAGTTTATTTTGTGCACACTTCTCATAGCACACGTCAAAAATTCTTTCAGAAAATTTAAAAAACAAGGAATCTCCGATGATTGATTTTTTGCGAAGTGCCACAGAATTATGGAGTTCGTATTTTTTTTCTTTGAAAAAATATTTTTCTCGAAAAAAATACTTTTTCTCTGGGAAAGTTTTCTTTTGTAACTCGATAATTCGGTGAGATTTCATCAAAAATGAATGATCCGAGATTCCTTGTTTTTTTCACTTTTTTACGTGTAGCAGTCCATTCATGAAGTCGCTGGAGTTTTTTTGTAGCGCTTTTACTGTGCAGCAAAAGTCACGGTGCGAGCGACAGCCCAAAAAAACCCTGACCCTCCCGGAATGTCACCGGACTAAAATGAGCGACACGCACTGTGCGAAAACACAAGCTTTCTTTGCACTGTGCAATTTCTATTTCCTGCTTTTGCACCGTGCAATAAGCTTTTTCGGGTGCCGCTCGCACCCTCACTTTTTCGCACAATGCAAGCGCCACAAACCCTCCAGCGAAATGCACCGTGCAAAAGAGTCTTCCTTGCACTGTGCAATTTCTGTCTTTTTGCACCGTGCAAACGCCAAAAATCCGTTCGGCAACACGCACTGTGCGGAAACAAAAGCTTTCTTTGCACTGTGTAATTTCTTTTTTTTGCAATAGGCTTTTTTCGGGTGTCGCTCGCACCCTGACTAATAAACAACAAATCAACGTTTGCAAATTTTCTTTTTTGCATTTTTTGGTATCTTAAAGAGAGAAAACCGAAAATTTAAAACCTTAAAAAAGCAAATTGTAAGTCCAGGTTGCAAAGTTTAGAGTTATTACACCCTTAACAGAACCTGGAACTTGACCCTAAATTTGTTGCAACTTATGGGTTTAAAAGAGAGTTTTTTACAACTCGAAGGATGGCCCGGACATTTCGAAAAAACGACCGACCCAGAATCTTTTGATATTTTGCATAGTTGTTGTACCATGATAGCTGAACGTCAGCACGAATTTTTAGTTTCAGAAATTACCGTATACGGGGGTTACGGTAGGTACAATTTTTACAAAGATTGGGTTCGTGTGTAAAAACCGCAAGGAGTAAAGGCACAAAACCTCGCCGTTTTACGTTTTTGACCATAGGGAACATTTTCATAATTGACAACTTTGCCGTAGGATGTAGTCTTAGACTACTTTGAAAAATACCAAGGTACCATATTGAACGTAACTTTTTTGCAGAGAACTTGTCTCAACTTTTGAAACCTCATAAAAACACTTTGACATGTATGTAACAACATATCAAAAATGCGCGAAAATAAAAGGGGGGGTTTTGGAGTTATGGTAGTTTGAATGTTGCCGGTACGGTATATCAAAAAATCATTTTTTTTTAAATCGGTGTAGAAGACTCGAAAAAATTGCCGGAATACGTTTTCGACCATGGCGAACATTTTTGTAATTGACACTTTTTTTGTAGGATGTAGTCTTCGCCTACTTCGAAAATGACCCACATACCATGTGTGCTGTAACTCTTCGGCATTCTATTTGTCTCAACTTTTGAAACCTCTCAAAAATACCTTGATATGTATGGAACAACATATCAAAAATTTAGAAAAATAAAAGGGGGGGTTTTGGAGTTACGGTAGTTTGAATGTTGCCGGTACGGTATATCAAAAAATCATTTTTTTTTAAATCGGTGTAGAAGACTCGAAAAAATTGCCGGAATACGTTTTCGACCATGGCGAACATTTTTGTAATTGACACTTTTTTTGTAGGATGTAGTCTTCGCCTACTTCGAAAATGACCCACATACCATGTGTAATGTAACTCTTCGGCATTCTATTTGTCTCAACTTTTGAAACCTCTCGAAAATACCTTGATATGTATGGAACAACATATCAAAAATTTAGAAAAATAAAAGGGGGGGTTTTGGAGTTATGGCACTTTGAACGTTGGACATACAGTACACCGAACTTTTTCTGTGATGCTGACGTCCGATTTTGATAGATTCCACCGTGGTATGGCACACATGACTCTAAACCGTGGTAATCGTTACAAAAAAAATAAGAAATCACTGATCTTGTTGTTACAGTAACCACTTATCTGCGCACGATGTGTTACAGTATGCTTAGGACTAAAATTTTTTAATTTCCTAGCGAAAATAGTTTGTGAGGGTCGTACAACACAGATAAAACACTACATTTTGTTTTTAAAATAATCTACGTAAAGTTAAGCCGAGAATAAATCGAGGTGTACTGTATGTCCAACATACAAAGTGCCATAACTCCAAAACCCCCCCTTTTATTTTCCTAAATTTTTGATATGTTGTTCCATACATATCAAGGTATTTTTGAGAGGTTTCAAAAGTTGAGACAAGTTGAATGCCGGAAAGTTATATTGAACATGGTATCTTGACATTTCTCAAACCGGTCGAAAGCTGCATCCTAGAACAAAACTGTCAATTACAAAAATGTTCTCCATGGTTGAAAACGTATATTGGCAAGGTTTGCGGTTGTCCTACTCCAATTTTAGAAAAAATGAAATTTTGATATACCGTGCCGGCAACGTTAAAAGTGCCATAACTCCAAAACCCCCCCTTTTATTTTTCTAAATTTTTGATGTGTTGTTCCATACATATCAAGGTATTTTTGAGAGGTTTCAAAAGTTGAGACAAATAGAATGCCGAAGAGTTACATTACACATGGTATCTGGGTCATTTTCGAAGTAGGCGAAGACTACATCCTACAAAAAAAGTGTCAATTACAAAAATGTTCGCCATGGTCGAAAACGTATTCCGGCAATTTTTTCGAGTCTTCTACACCGATTTAAAAAAAAAATGATTTTTTGATATACCGTACCGGCAACATTCAAACTACCGTAACTCCAAAACCCCCCCTTTTATTTTTCTAAATTTTTGATATGTTGTTCCATACATATCAAGGTATTTTTGAGAGGTTTCAAAAGTTGAGACAAATAGAATGCCGAAGAGTTACATTACACATGGTATGTGGGTCATTTTCGAAGTAGGCGAAGACTACATCCTACAAAAAAAGTGTCAATTACAAAAATGTTCGCCATGGTCGAAAACGTATTCCGGCAATTTTTTCGAGTCTTCTACACCAGTAGTATAAAAGGGCCCTATGCCCCCTTTTTGCCCCCCCTCCTCTGGAGGAGGGCAAAGGCAGGCTACTCTGACAAAATAACAATTGATACCGTAAGCGTACTGTATTAAGGTATATTGTAAATTCAAAGAACTGTACTTTTGTACAAAAGGACCTTATGCACCCTTTTGACCCGTCCTCTTGAGGGGAGGATAAAAAGAGGGTTACTCTAATAAAATAACAATTGTTATTGTAAAATTACAGTACTAAGGTATGTTGTAATTTCATAGGGTCTATGTTACTGTATTATAGGGTAAAATTTGAAAAGGTATATAAACCCCATTTTTTAAAATTTGTGCAGTAATTTTTAATTATGCATGTCGTATTTGATCCTACAAAGGTTTACGTCTTCCAAAAGGGAAGAGGAGGGCAATTTGAAGGAGTACCATACCAAAGAGGTTTTGGTAGAAGACAAAGAGGCACCGGTTTCGGATTTTTGAAAAGCTTTTGGCGTTTCTTGTCGCCGATTTTGAGGGATGTTGCTAGTGAAGTAGGGAAAGAAGCAATTGTCTCAGGCAGCCGAGTTCTAGGAGACATTGCTCAAGACAAACCATTGAAGCAGGCTCTGTCATCCAACGCGAAGAAAAGTGCCCAAACCTTACTGCAAAAAGCTTCCAACAAAGTGGGACAACAAGGAGGAGGAAAAAGGAAACACCAATCCAAGAAATCACAGCGAACAAAAAGAACGCGTCGAGACATTTTAGGGCCCTATTGAAATGTATAAAAGGACCTCAAAATATGCAAAATACAATCATTTCATTTTTTCTGTTTTGGGAAAATGTCTCTCAAAAAAATTGATGTCAAGAGCGGGGAAAGCATCACATCCGCTCTTAATGTTTTTAATGTACCTGAAACCAATATTACATGCTCCAAAGCGCAATATGTAGAATACTTAACCGTCAATCCCGTCACGGAGACCCCTTTTCATTTCCACATTGAATCTGGCAGTAACTTTTTAGACCTCTCAAAGTCATACCTTTTAACGGAAATGCACATTGAAAAAAAGAAGGCAAACTCTACTGAATTCGAAAAAATCGCTGCAGCAGATTCAGTGGCTGTTATCCAAGGTATTGGAGCAACCTTTATGCAAAATTTGAAGGTCACCATCAATGGAAATGAAGTCTATAATTCTAACTGCCTGCAGTCGTATAAGTCCTATCTAGAAATGCTCCTGAGTTATCCTGATGATGCTATGAGTTCGCATATGCAAATGGTAGGATGGTTTAGCGAAACTACATTAGATGACCCGAAGGATAATGGCTTTTTAAAACGAAAAAAATTAATGGCAGATGGAAAACAGCAGTTTATTACTAGAATCTTCTCGGATGTTTGTCAAATACCCCAATATATGGTTAATCATGTTAACATGACTTTGGAGATCCAACCTCAACGTGACAACTTTTGTCTCCAAGCCTATGATGAAGGAGAATACCGTTTAGTAATCGATAGCATCAAGTTGTATGTCAAGACTATTACACTTAATGATGGAGTAGCGGTTGGTTTTGCCAATTCACTACTGAGAAACCCCGCAATTTACCCTATGAAGCGTACTGAAATGAAGTCTTTCTACATTGGTGCAGGAAGATCCGAGACAAATATTTCTCTGTTCCAAGACCAGATTCCTACCAAAGTAATTCTAGGACTAGTTCCTCATGCTAATTTTCAATCCAATTCAAAGTTGTCTCCCTTCAAATTTTCTAATGGTGATCTCCGTTCGGTAACCCTTTCTGCCAATGGTCAACTACACCCCCACGTTGATTTTGACATGGACTTTAAAAATAACAAATATCTCAAAGCCTATCATCAATTGCAAGAAACCCTGAATTACGCATTCTCGAAGGAGTCAAATACAATCTGTCGGAGTAAATTCAAAACTGATTTTTGTCTGTTTGCCTTCAATCTAACTTCAGACTTGGAAGAAGACGAGGAGTCGTTTGACTTGATTAAAAAAGGAAGTACTACACTCAATCTCAAGTTTAACTCGGTAGTGCCAGAAAATGGTTATGTGTTAATCGTCTATGCCCAATTCCAAAATCTTTTGTTAATTGACAATATGAGAAATGTCTCTACTGACATTACAGCTTAATATGGTTTCATGTCTTTTCTTGTAGTGATAAATAAACTAATCAATCAAAATCTTTTGGAGTTGTCAAACAGGGAAGGGTATATAAATAAAAATTTTGTAAGCCTTTTTAGCAAAAATGTCTTTTCATAAAGTTGAACAAAGCGATTTAACCCTGCAGTTACCTTTTTCTATGGTATGTTCGGGACCCTCTAGTTCGGGAAAGACAACTTTTATTCTGAGGTTAATTGAAAATGCCAACAAAATGATCTCTCCGCAACCAAAGGCAATTTACTATTGCTATGGAGAATATGGCAAACACGTACCTCTCCTAGAAGCAAATAATGTAATAACCATGCAGGAAGTGCCTACAAATGAAGACTTAAAGTTATTTTCAAAACCATTTCTTCTCATAATTGATGACATGATGAATGACATTAACGAAAATTATCTAGCTAACCTATTCACTAAAAAAGCTCATCACGGAAACTTTGGTCTAATATTTCTGACCCAAAACTTGTTCGATAAAAAATTGAAAGTACCAAGAACAAATGCACAGTATCTCGTCTTGATGAAAACAGCCAGTGCAACCCTGCAAGTAAAAACGCTTGGAAGTCAGCTATTTCCGAAGAAGGACTTTATGGCAGCGTATAATGATGCGTGTTCTTCTCCGTACGGTTACCTACTGATTGATATGCATTCCAAGACAGACGATAAGGTTAGACTAAGGACTCACATCTTTCCAAATGAGACAACCGTAGCCTACAACTTTTGAAAAGTGTATAAATAGCCACCAAAATTTTGCATTTTGTTAAATGGATCAAATAAAAATTTTAAAAAAATTATCCAGGGCGTGTGATACAAAGACCAAGGGGGAGTTAATTAATCGTCTGGACGCCCAGGGAATTAAAATTTTGGTTGAAATTTGCTTTAACATTCTCAAAGGAAACGTTCATCTTGACAGAGCACAGGTAAAGAAGTTGCAAAAACACTCTGAGCTTATCAGATCGTTGTCACGTAAAAGAACTACCAAAGCAGCAAAGAGAATAGTTCAATCAGGTCGAGGATTTCCGTTTGCTCTACTACTAAGTCCTGTGTTACTCGAATTGGCAAAAAAGTTTATATCATGAAAAAATTTCTTCTCATCCCTGAGGCCTACTATCATGATCTTAAAAACTCTTCAACGATTGATTCTTTGTCTACAGACCTAGTCAACAAAAGTTTCAAGGATAAAATGAGTGATAGCAAGCGGAATGCCTTAATTAATCAAAGAATGATGGGATATTTGAAACGTCACAAACAGATGAAGGATGCCCCGGTTAAGGTCGAGATAAATGACGGTAGTATACTAGCAAAGAACAGAGACAATACGGTATTGTTGGATTCAGAAGGTGTACCGAAGGCAAGTCTTAACCCTGATGACATGGTAAACAAAATTGTTGACGCCTTTATCAGAAAAACTCAAAAACAAAAGGCAGCATCTCAAAACACAAAATATGAAGATGAACTCTATGAAGACCCTAGCCAAGAATGGGAATCAATGGATTTGGATCTTAATACTGAGGAAACCCCTGGAACCAGTGGACTCTATTATACTGAGACTCCGAAAAGACCATTTCAAGAAATGTTCCCTCCAAAAAGTCCAACAAAAACAGAACCAGCCAACAAAGTTGCCAAAGAACCCTCACAAGAAGCCGTCAAAGAATCAGCAGAAGAAGTCACCAAAGAACCGGCAAAAAAACCAGTCAAAGAACCATTCTTTAAGAAACCCAATACTAGATTATCCAAGACAGTTGATCCGGCTACTCAGCTTTTAGGCATAGTAGCCAGAAACCCTCAAACATTTGGATGCCTGCCTCAGGGGGGAGTAATGGGTGACAATGGAAGACAAATCGAGGGTAGTAGCTACAAAGTCATTCTAAATAAACTCAAAAACAATCCCCTTGCTGGTACCAAGGCTGGAGAAAAGACCTTGGTCAAACGCTTGCAGAAGAACAGCGAAACTTCGGAATTGATAGCTCAAATATTTCGTCTAAACAGTCCCAGTTATATAGCCAAAAGGGCAAAGGCTAGAGTTCAGTCAGGAAAAGGAAACAGGAAGAACAGAGAACACACTTTCAAAATAAAAAATTGGATTAGTATATAAGAAAGAAAAGTTTTTCATTTTGGACAAATGGAAGATTTAAATCATCTCAAACAGCTGATAAAAGCAGTACCCCACTGCAATCAGTATTCGGATCTGGTTATTTGCATTCTTTACGTGCTGGCAATCATTGTAATTTTTCTGGTTTACGTTTACATCAAATTCTTTAAAAATGAACGAGTACCAAATCCGAAAAGTAATGAAGAAGCATCCTCTGTTAAGACGTAGTTTTGTTGACGTTTACTCCATCAATGAAATCACAGAACCTATTAAATTCCCCAGTTCCTACATAATCAACACAAAGCCTTCCGATCATGAAGGCGAACATTGGGTAGCCGTTTACACAGATCAACAAGGAGAATTCTATTTTGATAGTTTTGCGGAGAAGATACCCTCCGAAGTTACAGAAAATTTTCCCCATATTAGAAACTGGACTGTCCCTGTACAATCAATTTATAGTGATGCCTGTGGTCATTATTGCATAATGTTTATTTATCTATGTTCCAAAGGAATTAATATCAAAACAATCGAAAATATTATGGAAAGGACATCAGACAGGAATGTGAAAGACTTTGTTAAATTTCAATTATTCTAATTAAATATATTGTCCCTAGTATTCGAGTATTTTTCAAATAAATGTTTCAAAATTATTTGGTTTGTCATTTCCCCAGTGTTGACAGAAATAAAATGTAGGATGACAAGTCCATCCAAGCCTAAACAATTCTTGTAGAAACCCAGGCATACCTCATTACTACATTTAATAGTTTTAGATAAACGTCTGCGAGCAATTTTGGGAATAATAGAAATCAAAAAAAGTAGGAGGGACAAAAAGTTACACAAAATGGTAGACATAATTAGGAACCACAAGAAAAGGTAAATCTTTTCATTGAACATGTTGATTACCAAGACGCATTGAATAGTATATCTGTGCAAATTTGCCAAGGTTTTTACTTGAAAGTCGCACCATGTGACTCTAGGAAAAATGGGCATCTCAGAGTTATCGGAAACCCACCACGAGGAAATTCTCTGCAAACCCCAAAATTTGAAGTGAGGGCCTATAAATTTGCACAGTAAAAAGAACTGAACAATTGAATTGGCCAAGTAAAGGACCTTCACAAGAGTATAAAGCATAGTAACAAAGTATCTACGTTTGTAATGATAACTTATCTGATTTAGGTTAAAGATGTAGTTTGAAATTCTCTCCAATCTTATTTCTTGTTCATTCGACGCTGGAAGTGCTTTGGCGTTGCGAATATCGTGTATTACATACTCAATATCTATGTCATGGTATTTTTGCAGAAATCGCCAGAGCAAATGAGGCAGGTAAAACATAATAGCTTGAAGAGCCAAAGTGGTAGGTACCCATTGATAATAGGAAAAATGAGAATTATCTCTAATGGTGACATTCTTGGGTATATCTTCATTCAACGATACATAGTATGTACTCTTGACATAGCAGTAACTCTCAGCATACTCTGCCCAGTCACGGGTAAATTCTGTAGGAAGGAAGCACTGTATGGGGTTGCCTACATATTGCTTGGTTGATACCATGATTGCCAGGAATATCAGTACAGAAGATGTGAAAACATAGTTGAGTCTGTCGATCATGTCATCACAAAAGTAGGGGCGAAGAAACAAGGATGCAGCATTGCTTAGGAAAGGGATTGCAAACATTCTAAAATAAAATTGAGAAAACAAGGAATTACAAATAAAAATGGAGGGTAACCTCTTTTTTCAAAAATCTATCGTCTTCGCCAAGCTTGTTTATTTATAAAAGAGCACAATTACGAAGCAAAATAAAACTAGGAAAACAAAGCCTTAGGGTTTATAACCATAAGGAAGAATAGTTAAATCGTCATTCGAAACAAAACCTTTGGAGAAAACGGGTTTGTATTTTTTTGTCATGGGCACCGTGTAGACTCCTCCAACGATAAAAGGCAGGATTCTGTTTGACGTTGTCAACACAGCTGTAGAATTCAAGGAAAAGACCATCTTCTTTAAGAGTTCGTAGTTGAGAACCTTTCTCACATTATGACTAAGTGTTATACCTCTTAACTTTAGTTCAAACGAAACTTGTTTTGTTCGAAGGTTTTGCAGTGCCAATCCATATTGTTTGGCTCCACCACAAATGTACTCCAGTATCTCTTCACCACCATGTTCAAGTTCCATTTCTCCCAAAAAGTAGTCAATCTTGAAAGGTAAATGTCCACGAGGATGTTGAATGATGCAACTGTCTGTGTCAGTGTAGAGCAATGTTGAAGATCCCTGACATTGATCCATGTATTTGTAGAGATGTACACGAGCACAGGATGTCGTGAATATGGGCAACAGAATATTGGAATAATCGTACAGTTCGTCGTAACCCTCCTTCCTCTTGATTGTTAAATAAGCCACAGTATCATTCACAACAATTAGCCTACTTATCTGATTACCAAAGTCTCTCAGAATACGATGAAAATCGCTAGGTTCCCGGCAAATCTCCACTCTTGCAAGATTGGTCCGTTGACCAAACTTGCCCCACAGACTGTTAAGTCGAAGCTTTGCAATGGCCCTCAGGCCAGGGTTTTTAACCCAATTTTTCTTGTCAATTGTGAACCCATAACGGTTTTCGATTTCTTTGCAATACTCTTCTTTCTCTTGTTCAGTGTTGCAATGTGGAGGAGGCCCTGAAGCTTCCAACTTTAACTTCAAGTTTTTCATAACATAGGCCTTGAAAATCTCCATGTTCATCGTGCATTTGTACAGTTCGTAGAAACGTTTCACAATGTAGCCCTTCTCCAAAGCCAGACGTAATTCCACACTGGCAATTGTAGTTACAAATTGTCTCTCCTCAGGAGTGTGCTCACAGTCGATATTGACAGGAAAGTTGGTTTTACAGTGGCGTTTGGCACATGCAATGCACAAGACAAACATTAATTGTTCATTGATCTTGATAGGAACAACGGGAAAACGGAGGTTTGTTGGAGGAATAATCAATACTTTGTAAACACCTTCATCCTTCACATATCCTGGAGAATCCCAGTGAACAACCCCCGTACCTGTAATTCTCTCGGGAATTCCAAAAGGCATTGGATACTTGGCCAGTACATAGGGATATAAACTTTGAATATCTGTGTAGGTGATCTGAGTTTTTGTGTCAGAACGAGCATACAATTTGTAAGGTCCAGTTCTTCCTCCCATAAAAGCATCCCTCAATACAAGAGGCCCCGGATTGTTGAGTTCATCGTTAAAAAAATTCCTCATATCCTCATTTTCCTGAAGCATCTTTTTTATGTCGCATTCCCAAAAGTATTGCACTTCATATCCTGCATCTTCAAGAGCTTTCTGTCTCTTCATTGTATTCAAGAAAACCTCCTCCCTTCTACGTCCCTGGGGTAGAATAGTGTGTTGATTCTTGAAGCATTGAGGGCACCCGTGAAAATAGCATCCATAAATCTCGATGATTAAACTCTTGTGGGGAGAACGGTCGACGAAACCATCAACAAAATAAAAGTGTTGTTTCTGATCTTGAATAACTTCAATACGCTTTTCACCACCAGGACTATCGCGGTATTCCAGAATGTAGCCATTAATATGTTGCAGATACCTCAGCATCTTCAAAGCGATCTTGGATTGGTTCACATATCTTCCAAGACCGTGTTCGGGAACCAAAGCGATGCTTTTTGGAGGCATACACGTCATTCTAAAGTCTCTCATGCAGGCGGAGGCTAGTGTACTGGTGTAATATAGGATGTCATCTGTAGGGGAGCCCGTAGCTTCTCTCGTCTGTTGTCGGAACATAACCAGAGCATGGACCAGGATCATGACATCGTTTATGCAGTAATCTCGTAACTGTTGCTTAAAATTGAAATGAGTCTGTTTGTTCTCATTGTACCACTTCAAAAAATTTTCACGCTTTTGTGGTAGCATGAATTCATCCATGTAGTAAGTCTTTGGAGGAAGATATTCTTCATCGAAATTGTAGAATTGTTCTTGGTTGAGCATGTGGGGAAACATGCCTTTTGTATCAACCACCCCTGTCAATCCTAATGTCTCAACCATCTTTTCCAGAGAGACTGGTATATGATTATATGAATCGATAAACTTTATCGTTCCAAAGGCCCCACCACCATTGATAGACATGGAATAAATTTTGTTCCCAACACTGGTTATCTTGATATCGTGACGATCATTCTCGGCAATTATTTCTTCCATTAACAAATGAATGTCAAACCTCCCTGCATAATGTCCTACAGCAACATTTGTCGTTCCCGGAGGAGTATTCACGCGTAGATACTTCCAAAATTCTTGTAAAGGAAGACAATTCTCATCTTCGGGTACACTCCAGTATTTTAATTCGCAAGGACAACAAGGACATGCATTTTCAATAGCATAAATTCCCAGGGTCATGCAATGATTGCACATGATTTTTACAGCTGCAAAGTTTACGATATGCTTGAACTTCTGTCCACCATTAACCCCTGTATTCTGTGTAGTTTCAAAGTCGTACACAAACATCTTGTAGGTTGGTTCCTCATTTGGGGGTTTTAAGGATTGAACAAAACAAGATGTGGATGAAGGATGATGACCGTGACAAATGTAACAGTATGATGATCCACATGTATGAGCCTCTCTTGTATTGTAGCGTTTTTCACAGGTCTGGCACGTCTTGAACGTGTAGCAAGCTCTCTTCAAATGATGATTATAACAGTCTGAATTTGGAAACACTGTAAAACAGTTGGCACAGTAGTGTACATCTTCAAAGGGACAAGGGTAATCTATTCCAGTTCTTCCGCATAATGTGCATTTTTGGGTGCAAGAACTTCGATGTTGTAGTTTATCATTATAGGTAGTGTGGCATGTATAACAGAGATACTTGGAATTAAAAAATTTTGTTGGATACCAAATTGTATCGTAATGGTCGTTATTGTAATAAATCGGTAGAATTGTCCTTGCGTGAACTGATTTTTCAAGAGGATAAAGCCATTCGTTGTTGAAATTTCTTGAAGCAAACACTACAATTTGAAAAGGTGCGTGTTCTGGGTGTTCTGCATTAAAATATCCCTCGACTAACGGAGCTATCTGGTGGATGGTATACTTTGACTTTCTGAGAATTCCTTCACACCATGATGTGAGAGGCTTAATGTACTTTTCTCGGGCTGTAGTAGTTTGCTCTGCAATTCTATGAGCTGTGCGAGCCTTGTCTCTATGCAGAAGACAAATGTGTTTGGTCAAAGCAATCAAAGAGGCCAAAAGGAAACAAGCAGAATCCTGATTTCTAATCTCGTAAACACCAGTGTCCGAATTGATTTTTGATTGTCCAATGGGTCTTGTTCCTCCCGTAGGGCCTCTTACGGTAGATATTTCAAGAGTAAAAGGCTCTCCAAGTAAGGAAGGAGTGTTTGCACTCTGCTGTACTTTTGAAAACTTTGTTAACAGCCTCTCTGATTGAAAATCATTGGTGGAAAGAAAGCCTGTGTATATGCCATCGGTTAATTGATTAGAGGTTATAGCCGCCGAAATCTTGTAAACAACGTCTCCATCTGATTCTGCATTTGCAACAGCCTCCGCTACATTCGCATCTATCATTTTGAGGAGTTGTTCTTCATAGTCCTCACAATCCGCGTCAACTTTGATGACGTACTTTGCCTTATAGGTGGCGTGCTTGAAACGAGGATTGTTGATTATCTCGGGTGGTCCAAGTTGCCGAAAGGTCAGCGATGACATCTGAAAATGTATATAAAGAGAACTAAAATTGAAATTTATCATTTTACAAAAATGGACACTTCATATTATGTGGTACTCCCCAGTTCTACTCCTAATAGTTTTTATGAAAATAGATCTTGTGATTACACTGTACTACTTCCAAAGACTTTAAAATTTGATTCAAACTACGTATGCGGTCTTCAATCTATCGTCTATCCTCATTCATGGGCTTCCTTGGGTACTACGACAGAGGAATACATAACAATTCACGGCGAAAATTTCAAATACACAGTCTTTCTACCTCCGGGTTCGCATAGAAATATTAGTGCGTTGGCTGAATTAATTAACGATGTAATTAAGCAAGAAACAGAATCATTCAAAAAAGTTACTGATAATCGTCCCAAACGAGAGGCTCCGGAAAGTGATGATGATGCTCCTGAAGCTAAAAAACCCAAAATTAGAGATGAAGAGCTTCTCAAGTTGTATGAAAAGAATGTCTCAGCTCTAGATCAAAGATTGCTCAAGGACAAGGAAGCCGTAATTCAAGCAAGAGACGCAGCAGTCCAAGCATTTTCGAATGGTCTTCAACGTGAATTTAACGAGTTTAAGACTGATTCTTCTTTAAAAATTCGAACTTTTTCTGAAGAAAAAACAAAAGAGGAGAAAAATTTTGAAGAAAACATCAACAAGCAAATTTCCGACTTGCAAAAGGAAGCCGACTCTAAACACCAACAAAATATCAACAATTTTAACAAATTTAAGCAAGATCACGAAAAGGAATTCAACGAAGCACTATCGAAGCTCCAAGAAAAGGCTAGAACACTAAAAGAAGCCGTTCCTAAAGATTTTGACGGCAAGTTAGCCAAGGAAGAAGCTACTGTCAAGGCCCTCGAAAATACAAAGAATGAAAAAGAAAAGGTTTTTAATGAAGCAAAAAAAGCAGTAGATACCAAAAAAAACGATACCCATACTAAGAATGATACAAATTACAACCAAGAATTGAAAAAGTTGCAAGATGCTTCCATCCAGGCTCGCATAGAATTTGAAACCGCCACTCAAAATCACGACCATGCCCTAAAGCATTTGAATTCTCTCAGGGAACAGAGACCAACTCTAGAAGGACACGAAGTTACTAGAATCAACAATCAAATTGAAGATGAACAGAACACTCTTACGCATAACGCGAGTCAAAATTTGGAGTTCAGAAAGAGTTCTTTTGAAAGTCAAAGGGGTTCAATTAATCATGAACTGTACGGTACTTTAGAAGAATTGCGAGTGTCATTGGATAATATGAAAAAACAATTACGATTGGAGGTTTCAAATTTTGACAAGGCTGAAAGAGCTGAGTGGGAAAGGCGTGACAAAGAGAAACAACAACAGATAGAGGCAAAGCAAAAGGAGGAAGATGAAAATCTAAAGGAAAAAATTGCAGAAATTACAAAAAATGTGACAATCGCAAGACAAAATCTAATGGAAGAATTTTTGGATCGCGACCGTAAACATTTTTTGAAAAAGAAGGAAGAAAAGCCTACAAAAGCTTACAATCAAGGAGAAAGAATTTACAACCAGATTTTTCAGCAGGGGCCTCAAGCTATGGACGAGATTTTGCAAAATTTTACGCCCCAACCTATCAAATTTTCTTACAACGACGCCTCCCAACGCATAAAATTGGAAATTTTGCACCCCAAGGTACAGTACATCACTATGACATCACAACTCTGCTATACCTTAGGTTTTCCTCTATCCGAAAAATTGAAAAATAATACAATCGCCAAGTACCCTGCGGACCTCAGTGGTGGCATAAAACAATTGATGGTCTACATCCCAGGCCTTACATCCAATGTTATTGTTGGAAATTCCAATGTTCCCCTTCTCAGAGTCGTCACGGTACAAGGACAGCCCGGGGACATTATAGAGCAAATATATGAAAGTCCTATCTATGTACCTGTTGAAGTGAAAGAAACTAGTATGATGCACGTAAAAATATTAACTATGGAAGGACGTGAAGTCCCTTTTGCTCACGGAGACGTATGGATTACCCTACATTTTAAAAAATGTGTAATTTTCTAAGTTTTGTTGTTGTTGTACAAAAATTTACCCTCACAAATATAAGACAATTTTATAATAAACTCACCATATTCTTTTAACAGACTTCTTGGGTAGAAGATCCCTTTGTGGCCTCAATATATACACTTGGATAATTTTAAACTCCTCCCATTTTTTTGGAAAATTCTAGAAAATTTCTTGAGACTTGCCTACCCTGCATGCATTGTCTTTTGCCGTAACGAACAGTTGTTATGCGGCAATTACCGTATAACGAGCAATTGTTATAAGGCAATTGTCAGAAAAAGTTCAAGCCAAAATTTACAGTATAAAAATAGAATTCTTTGACCAAATTGCCTTAATCATGTCTGAAGTACTTACAAATTATTTTAATGCAGATAATTTTGCCTCATTCTCGGGAGTCAACAATGTAAGGCGAAGTCTTAATTCGAAACACTCAAATCGTGATATTCAACGAGAATTGGCCAAAGAAAGCGCGTACAATCTCCATAAGCCACGAAGATATAAATTTAAACGCCTCAGGACAATTCCTACGGGATATATGACAGACTTGAGTGCTGATTTGGCAGATTTTCAAACACTGTCTCGATGGAATCGCGGCAATAAGTATTGCTTGGTTGCTGTTGATGTAATGTCACGATATTTTTTTGCGGTTCCCTTGAAAAACAAAACTGCTGTCGAAGTAATTCGAGGTTTTACAAAAATCTTTGAGGAAATGCCTCAAATGCCTGAAATGTTGTTGACCGACAAAGGCAAGGAGTTTGAGGCAAAACAAGTCATAAACTTCTTAGAAAAGAGAGGGATCACGAAGGCACATAGCGAAAATTCTGAGATAAAAGCTTCTCTTGCAGAACGCGCCATTCGAACAATAAAGTCGAGATTATTCAAGTATTTTACTCACAACAACACAAAAAATTGGGTGAAAATTCTTCCACAAATAATAAATGGAATAAATCACAGTGTCTGTAGAACTACAAAACTACGACCTGTTGATGTTACACGCGATAATTGGTACAAACTCTGGAAAAAACTTTATTCTCCAGAAAAGGCTGTAAGAAAACCTCTGTACAACCCTGGAGATACTGTTCGAATATCTCTGCCAAAATCATCTTTCGACAAGGGCTACAAACAAGGCTATACAACCGAAATATTCATAATTGACAAAGTGCTATACAATAATCCTATCACGTACACTCTAAGGGCTCAAGATGGTGAGAAAATTGTCGGTAAATTTTATGAGCCTGAGCTCTCATTTGTCAACCAAAATTAGGTGAATATTTTACTTTTTGTGCTTCATATTGTTTTTTAATTTTTATCTCATGATTTATAGGATGCCTGTCTTTTGATTGAATCCTCTATTAAATTACGTTTGCCAAATGAGAAAGCAGTTGTTAAAAAAAGATTGTAACAGTTGTTCGCTTCCTGAAGAAAGCAACTGCTAAGATTAATCGTAGCTGTTACTGACTTCCAAGAGAAAGCAGCTGCTATGATTAATTGTAACAGTTGCCCTCTTTCAGGACAAAGCAACTGCTAAGATTAATCTTAGCAGTTGCTTTCCAACAGAAAGCAACTGCTAAGATTAATTGTAAAGGTTGTCCTCTTCCAAGAGAAAGCAACTGCTAAGATTAATCGTAGCTGTTACTGACTTCCAACAGAAAGCAGCTGCTATGATTAATTGTAACAGTTGCCCTCTTTCAGGACAAAGCAACTGCTAAGATTAATCTTAGCAGTTGCTTTCCAACAGAAAGCAACTGCTATGATTAATTGAGACAGTCGTCCCCTGCCGAAGGAAAGCAACTGTTAAAATTAATTTCATTTGTCAGCAGTCCTGTCTGAGAATATCAGGTGTCTCTTATCATCCTTGGAGGCGGAGCTTAAAATTTTTTGCAAAATTTGTTAAATTTTTGCAAAAAATTTGTTAAATTTTTCGGAAACCACGCCCTAAGGTCTAGTATTTAAGCCACGGTCTTTCTTCATAAGATTATTCTTCGTTGTTGCAACATGTACCCCTTGACCCTCAATATTTTTTACTCTCGTAGCTACACTACCGCTGGAAAGAAACCCTACGCCTGCTTGATTGGGACCGCAGAAGACCAAACCTATTTGATCAAAGCTTTTGGAATCGACACTCGCTTGATCGAAAATATTGCTCCTGGTAGTTTTATTCAAATTTCGAGTTACATGCCTCGAGGCAAAAGAGATGGAATGTTCCATATTCTTCTTAAAGAGACCTCTACCGTTCAACTGGTACCACCACCACCCCCATCTACTCCTACTGCTGCCCGACGACGTTCGCGATTTGGGCAGAACAACAATGAGGATTTTGAACAGAAACCCCTTACCTCTTCTTCTACCCTAAATGGCTTTGGCTCCCAAAGTAATCTTCTTGACTAAATGTAAAACATTTTGATTTGATTTCTTTCATGTTGTGCTCTTAGAAAAACCTTTTTATTTACCACCGTGCTGAAATTAAAAAATAAACTTTATACACGTTTTAAAGGTCTTGAACTGTTTTATCATAATATATACATATTAAAATTTGGGGCCACCACTGCGGAATTTGTGCCATCGTCAAGAACTCTATGGTTTTCACGGATCAAGGGGGGACAAAATTTTCATAGGATCTGAATCCGATAGACAATATTTTTTTAAATTTGAGGCCAACTCCGGTACTACACAGCGATCCCTCGGCACGTCGAAACCCGTCAAAATTTGGACCTCCATCGTCTAAGACGGAATTTGTGCCATCGGCAAGAATTCCATGGTTTTTCGCGGATCAAGGGACAAAATTTTACCCGATTCATTTTCACAGGATCTGAATCCGATAGACAATATTTTTTTTCAATTTGAGGCCAACACCTGTACTACACAGCGAATAGAGCTGTGTAGCTATAAAAATAACATGCATTTTTTGAACACTTTTTATTGAAACAAGAACGATAATAAATGTATATACAGGGGATGTACTATATACGTCATAAAAGTTGGTACCCCTCTGTATATATATTTTTTTAAATGCTTTGTCTTCTTTTTCTCTTGGGGGGTTGTTCTTGTTTTCTCTGTTCTCCTGAAATAATATATATATATATAAATTTTTTAAGAGAAATACATTTTTTTAATTTGGTGCCTACTCAAAAAATAACAAACGCTTACCAAACTTTCCTTGGTCCTTCATTGCTTGAAACAGTTTCACATTTGAAACTCTCAGCCTCGCGTATACCTTGGCCAATTCATCCTCCAGGGAGCTTATTTCTTCACTTTGTCTTAAAGTTTCCAGAAAGACTAACCGCTCTTGATCTTCCAGTTCGCTCACTAAAATATATTATACAGAGGTGGGGCAAAAAATGTTTCTGTTAGTATTAGAATTTTCATAAAGTGCGTGGACTTTTCTTCGCTAGCCGCTGTGCGAGAAAAAGGTTGACTGTACATTGATTTCTCAAAACAAAATCGCTGCGGCGCAAGCTTTTTTCCTTTGCGCCGCGAAACTTGAGGCAATTGCAGTGTGCAAAAATGTTTTTGAAAGCGCTATGCACTGTGCAAATGTCCATGCCCTTTATGAAGATGCTAACAAAAAATGCCTTGAGGCATTACAAACAAAAAATAAAAACATACGCTGTCTCCTAATTCTCGTGTTTTCATTGGCTAGATCCTCCAACCTCAGTTCCTGCTCGATGGCGGTCACTCTTTTTTGTAATTGTTGGATTTGGCGATACATCTAAAATCCTTCAATATATTCGGAGGAAGATTCCTTGCCCCTCCTTAAAAACATTCCCCTACCCTCCTTCCCCAACAAAAAATCATATAAATAAGAAAGACTAAGCTTTGTCTTATTTTGTCACCTTTTGTCACCTTTTGGCTCCTCCTACATTAACCCTCTTTCTCTAAGGCTATAAGGACGGATGTTGCGGCCTGATGCCTAGATGTTTTTCTGTTACAATCCCCTAGACATACAATGCGCAATTCTTGCCTGAGCAGAGAAAAATAGAAAAAATCTTCACGGAGAGAGAGAGAACATATTGTTCAATCTTGCGCAATTTGAGGCGTCTGGTCGTTACCTCTATTTGATGCGGCGTCTGGTCGTTACCTCTATTTGATGCGGCGTCTGGTCGTTACCTCTATTTGATGCGGCGTCTGGTCGTTACCTCTATTTGATGCTCACCATCCTGACCATCTGTTCGCAAAAAAAACAGTGCAATTTGTAAAAAAGTTTATTTTTTGAATTTCAGCACGGTAATACAAAATAAAAAAATCCATAACATGTAAAACAGGTTTAGTGTACAGATCTGTACAGTTGAAGAGTCCTTGAGCAGATGTAACACTGATATGGATGAACTCCGTTGACATCAAACCTTATGGCGTCTTTTCTGCACTCTCGGCAATAATTCATATGGAATCTACAGGCTATAACATGTTGATTCTCCTCGACCTCCTCCAAACATACAATGCATGTGGTGTCTGCCATGCTCGTGCGAGACAATTGTGGAACTGAAAAAAAAGGATGATCAATTTTTTGATAAATATTTTTAAAGATCTGTAAATGAAGTGCGACGCTCACAAGGTACCCAAAGTACATTGCTCAGATTTTCTTTAAATTTTGCACACACGTCAGGTATAGACTAGGTATCAATTTCTCCAAGTTTTAGTTCGCCCTTTGCAAGCGTTATCGAGATGTTGAACGATCTTTGTCTCCGAGAGAGTACGCTCAACGTGGAGAGCGGTCAGAGAGAAAAGCGCTTTTTGGCCATAACTTTGGCAGTTTCGTGCGGAAAAATTTGATTTTTTGTAGAAACATTATCCTTTACAGTTGAAATAGGCATGAAACTTTTCGTGCCGAAATTCGGCAAAAAGTCCTAAATTTTCGCCGACTTTTGATCTAAAAATCTCGGTTGTTTCTGTAAAGCGCGAGCTAGGATTCTCGCATATATCTTAGAAAAATTATTCTAAATTTATGCCAAGTTTCATCAAAATCTGAGCGTCACACTTCAAGTACTTCCCTTGTGAGATGTTAAGCAATCATTGCCCTCGAGAGAGCACGTGAAACCAAGCGATCTGTTACAGAAAAAGGCGCTTTTATTATAAATTTACTTGTTTCTCTCGAAATTGCTACTGCAATTCCATGTCAAATAATTTAAATTTACTTACTTATAGAACTGTAGTGCTGCGCGAAATAGTTCTTGATGCGCAGGATTCGTGCGTTTACACTGAGAATTTCAGCTGCGTTGTCTAGTGGTGGGGCTGTTGGGGCCTGAATGTTTATGATGACTTGGTCATCATAATCTATCTCACAGGCCTCGATTTCTCTGTCTCCTCCTGAAAAAAATATAAAATCTTTCATAAGTCGACTTACTTATTCGTATTCTCTCTCCTGACGCATACCTATGCCCATTTATAAAATATCGTGCTTGTACGGCCATATTGTATACATCTATGGCAAGTTCCGTATTTTCTTGAAACGTTTCCCACATGAAGAAACGGATCATTTCCCCAAACTGGGGTTGCTTATAGAGCAGCCACACCAGCTCTCTGTGTGTTGCTCTGAAATTGAACACGTATCGGTTTGGCGTTGCCGCAATGTGCAACGCCACCTTTTGGAACAAAAATTTGGCATAGTCTCTGTTGCCCTCCATAGTGACCTCCGCCAGAGACTGAATGAAATTTAATTCAGTGATTTGTCTGGCCTAATCTATTTGTTAAACTTTATTGTGACCTCTTTTGCCATCTCTTTTGCCTTTGTGATTGTAAATTTTTTCGAGGGGTTCCTCTAATTTCTCCCCGATAGATGTCTGAGTGATTGAATATTTACAACTTTTTGGTGTAAAATATTGAAAGTGCAGAGTGTAATAATGAATTTAAATTTAATTAGTTTTATGTATTAATAAGTTATTCAACGTCTTCATTTTTATGAACACGGGAGATATTTTTTCTCCGATTTTGTTCTTGCGTAATATTCTTATATCAAATTGAGAACTGCTCCATTTCTTTTGATTTATATGTGCAATGATACAGTAATATAGAACCTTTTGATTAGAATATACCTTAATACAGTACGCTTACGGTACTGTAATTTTACAATAACAGTTGTTATTTTATTAGAGTAACCCTCTTTTTAGCCTCCCCTCAAGAGGACGGGTCAAAAGGGTGCATAAGATCCTTTTGTACAAAAATACAGTTCTTTGAATTTACAATATACTTTAATACAGTACACTTACGGTATCAATTGTTATTTTGTCAGAGTAGCCTGTCTTTGCCCTCCTCCAGAGGAGGGGGGCAAAAAGGGGGCATAGGGCCCTTTTATACTACTTACACCGATTTAAAAAAAAATGATTTTTTGATATACCGTACCGGCAACATTCAAACTACCGTAACTCCAAAACCCCCCCTTTTATTTTTCTAAATTTTTGATATGTTGTTCCATACATATCAAGGTATTTTTGAGAGGTTTCAAAAGTTGAGACAAATAGAATGCCGAAGAGTTACAGCACACATGGTATGTGGGTCATTTTCGAAGTAGGCGAAGACTACATCCTACAAAAAAAGTGTCAATTACAAAAATGTTCGCCATGGTCGAAAACGTATTCCGGCAATTTTTTCGAGTCTTCTACACCGATTTTAAAAAAAATGATTTTTTGATATACCGTACCGGCAACATTCAAACTGCCGTAACTCCAAAACCCCCCCTTTTATTTTCGCGCATTTTTGATATGTTGTTACATACATGTCAGAGTGTTTTTATTAGGTTTCAAAAGTTGAGACAAGTTCTCTGCAAAAAAGTTACGTTCAATATGGTACCTTGGTATTTTTCAAAGTAGTCTAAGACTACATCCTACGGCAAAGTTGTCAATTATGAAAATGTTCCCCATGGTCAAAAACGTAAAACAGCGGAGTTTTGTGCTGTTACTCCTTGCGGTTTTTACACACGAACCCAATCTTTGTAAAAATTGTACCTACCGTAACCCCCGTATACGGTAATTTCTGAAACTAAAAATTCGTGCTGACGTTCAGCTATCATGGTACAACAACTATGCAAAATATCAAAAGATTCTGAGTCGGTCGTTTTTTCGAAATGTCCGGCCCTTGTTATGAGAAGCTTCAATCTGTAAAAAACTCTCTTTTAAAATTAATCTTCACGCGCTGTAAAGGAAGGAACATAAAGTCCATGCCATCTTTTTGTACTTTGTATGTCCCCTCTTGCAAACGTCTGCAATTTTTTTTTGTCATACACCGTTTTCTGATACCCATACTTGCAACGACGCATATTTTTTTGTATCGTAGTTTTTACAATGACATTGGAGACTTGAATGTTTCGACGAATAGGTCTGTTATGCTACATTATACTTGTGTTGAGCGACAAAAAAAGTTTACGCGAATACGGTTGGAATGGGAAAAATTTGTGTGCTCGTTCTAGAATGAACGATGAAGAAAGTTATGGTGTACAAGCGCAAGTGATCAACTTCGCACAGCTTTTAAGACCATTAAAATAAATTAGGATAAATTCTAGTTCGTTCGCATGGTCGTTGGAGTGGTTTTGGCGACCTGCACTGTGAGAAAACAAAAGTTTATCTTGCACAGTGTAATTTGCTTTTTTTGCACGTGACTATTTTTGCACGCCAAAAATCATTCCAGTGACTTTGCGAGTTCGCATCATAGACAAGTCGGATCACACGTTAAAAAAAACGAAAAAAACAAGGAATTTGGATCATTGAGAAAAAAAAGAGAAAATTTATCTTTTTTAGAGAAATTTTTTTTCGAGAAAAATGTTTTTTTTTTTTTTAAGAGAAAAATAACTTTTCAAACTCGATAATTCTGTGGCACTTCGCAAAAAAACAATGATCCGATATTCCTTGTTTTTTCAATCTTCTGAAAGAGTTTTTTTACGTGGATCACCCATTGTTCTTCAGTAAATATATTAGAACACACAATGCTCTTAAGCAAATTTGCTTGGACCTTACAGAAGAAAGAGCTTGTGGCTTTGCAATGATGTGAATTGGAGCCGACCAGTCTTCAAATCTACTCCACTTCTTAAACCTATTATAAAAAAAAATATATATATATATATATATATATATATATATATATATATATATATATATATATATATATATATATGTATATATATATATTATAGAGGTACATACTTTTTTTGCGTCTACTATAAGTCTTTTTGAAATAGATTCATACCGTTGGCAAAAAATATATGCACTTTTAACGGCACAGATTTACAATATGTAGACAGCGTTGAAATTTTCAGCGAATCGCCGACGTTGAAAATTAATGTTTCCGGTTGTATACATCAATAATCCGTTTAACCATAGGAATTTAAATTTCTCTGTATTCAATTTAAGAAAAGTGTTTTTTTCCCCGTTCTCTGGTCTAACTTTTTTTAACACGGGTGACCTCAAGTCTGCTTCCACCCGGTAACGTTCAAGATTGTAAATCTTGAACGCAATACACCCTCACAATCTTCAATCCCAGTGGGTTTACGACGTGTCCGAGGATGCACTTCAAGATGATGTAGTCTTTTATATTCCGAGGTATTTATGGCTGGGAAGGCTGGGTTTTCGGAAATATATTCGACCTTCTTGTAAAGAGCTTTGAGTTGGTGAACATCCTACAGTTCATAGAGGAAGAGAAAAACGGTCTCATGGTCCAGGAAATGACGTCATTTACGAGTATATTATTTTTTCATTCAAAAGATGGAAAACAGATAAATACGGTAGATTCCGAGAGAAGAGCTGCAATGTAGTATCGCTTTTGTAGGAAGACGTAAATTTCTACGTGTAATCGGTCACAAAATTTGTATTTTGGGTCACCAGAATTGCATTTGTAGCGCAATTTGAGATTCCTTTGAACTTCGAGTATTCGTATTTTGTAACATTGGAATTCCGAGAACTTTGAGCGTATATGAATGAAATTGTGAGGCTAAGGTGTGTGAAAGCACAGTGAAACCTTTAATTTCGTATGTGCGATATTTTTTGGTCTTTACTTGGAAAGCTCCAAGTGTGACAGCATATCTAAGTAGCTACTTGAACTTGGCCACACATTCAATCCTTTTTTAAGTACGAGAAAGACAAATGCAAGACTCCTAGCCCGCGCTTTGCAGAAAATATCGGGAGTTTAGGTTGAAAATTGGAAAAAATGTAACACCGTATTGCGAAGCTTGGCATAAAAAGGGAGTAATGTTTCAATATAGCGAAGACTTTTCCTCTGTGACGACTCTCCGCGCCCCGCGTAATCTCTCGACCGCAGAAATCGTTGAATATCTTGGATAGCTCTGCAAAGCGTGAGCTAAAATTTTAAGGCATTGATATGCCGCATATGCCCAAAGTGTGGCCTAATTTTTTAACAAATCTGAACGTCCCGACGTCAAACTGAGGTAAGCTAAAACGGTGAACAAATTGGCGATTCGCCAAAAAATATGCGAAAAAACTTTTAGTCGTGGAAGAAATGGGGAGTCTTTGTGGCGAGAGAGTACATTTTTGCGCGTCTTTTCTCTGTCTTCTCTGTGCAATCAAGACGAAGTGTAAAAAACCGATAGCGAAGGGTCTATTCTGGTCACGGGACTCCTCAACTTGACGTGTGGGGTTTCTGAGGTGGAACGACCGAGCTACGAGCATTTTCCCACGAGAAACGATCTGCATTTATTCAAATTTTATTGTAGTTTCCTACGTGGGGCTTTCCTATAAAAGTCATCCTTTCCACTGAATAAATCACTTGACTCTTGTGCTCTCGTCTTGTCTGGTTACTGGGTTGTTGGGCTTTTCGACAGGGTTCTTCCCTTTCTTCCAAAATCAACTTCCGCACAACAAACCTCTTCCATAATGAATGAATTTCCGATTGCCATACGATATGTTTTACGGAGGTTTCGCTGCACCTATTTCGTACTCTACCGACAAGAAACTTTTCTTTGATTTTCAATCTTATGATTATCTTTTTATCAAAACCTGTACTCCCGTCTATAGGAATCAATTACATTTTATTGAAATTGCGACTCTTACTTCCTCGAGGCTACCTGAATTCGGTGACCTCTTTGCCCAAAATAATCGACCATAATTTTGCGGACAGACGTCAAAGCATATTAATGAATGCATTCTCCACCCTCAAGTCGATTCCTTTTTTCGGCAAGTTGTTTTTCACGACAGCGCCGACGTTGGTTCATTTGAAAATTACCATTCTTCGCCGTGAATGTTATTTTAATTTTCAAAAAGTCGCCGTTTTTCCAGCCAAACATATTTTCCATAAGTTTTTCGCATTTTTTTCTGAATTCCAAACGATGCCACCCCCACCGCCGTGAATGGAATTACTCGAATATTCATAGCGAAAAACGGAATAATTAAGCTACAAATTTGGCGGGCATTTGGGGATGTTGATGGATGATTGGCGGGGTTATTGCAGGCCTTCGAACTGCGGGTGTTATTGCAAGATTGTGTGATAATCAGTCATCCAGACGTTTGTGCACGGTTAGTAAAGCAATTTCAAGTTAATGACCAAGCTTAATGCCAATCTAACCCCACTATAGACATCAATTACACTTTTATTTGAAGGATTACAGTAGCAAAAAAACACAGTCAGATACTTTTAGGCGTCTGACAAACAAGAAAAGTACCTCAAGAACGCTCACAGTCAGATT